CTGGAAAAGAATGCTATTATAAATCTTGTTAAACCCTAAAATAAGATAATGGAAAAATAAGTGATAATCAAAAATAAGTGTAATCAAATATTCCACATCAAGTGTCTTTCCTTAATAAACTCACTGGAAGCCTTTATGTTAATATACTCAGAATAGCCCACTCAATCCCATCAACTTTGTCCATGAATGCAGAAGTTAAATTTATCCTAAAAGATAAGCATTAAACAAATATATTAAGATCACATGCCTCTTTTTCTCCTGACTTTTTAAAGAAAGTGATTTCATGCTAGTTTAGGCACCAAATGACAGACTCCAGGGAAGGTTATTTGGTCAATAGTAATATTAGAAGTTGGGAAATGCTGCCTTTGCAAATGAAAAACAAAAAAGGTCAGAATGATGGGCAAGTTTCTCCAAGGGAATGCTCATTGTCCTCCATGACCAAAGACATTGTGTCTATAAATTCACCTAAGTGAAATTATATTCATGGCACCAAAAACCAACCCTGGAGCCAAATTGAGATAAGAGGGAACACGCAAAGACTTACAATGCATTTCTCTTGAGAAGGTACCAGGAAAACAAAGGATTGAGAGAGATTGCTTCAGCTCTTTTGTCCTCAGGAGGACTACACCAATTTCATTCCCAAAGAATCATTATACTGGTTCTTCAATGCAAAAGTCAGCTCATCTTCCCTAACCCACAAGCCTTTAGTAAATATACTACTATTACAATACTGCCTGTTCCTGGGAGGGAGGAGGGAAAGGGATAAGGAGATTCATTCCCTCTTAGGAAGCACCAAAGAGAGAAAACAGGGAAACCCTAAAGATAAAGACATGGGAGACAGTGTGATGCAGTGGTTAAGAACACTCTTCAGTCTGAATCCTAGCTTTTCCTCTTGCCATTGTTACTTAGGGAAGGTTTTCTTAAACCCTTTTCTCTCTCAATTTTCTCATCTGTAAAATGAAGGTGGTTATAACATTTGCTTACTTGAATTAAGTGAAATTTGGATTAATGAAATACTTGACATACATAGTCAGTAAATGTTGGCTATGATGATAATAGTGGTGGTGATGATGATGATGATGATGATGAGGAGGATGGTGATGGTATGTTGTACATTATTCTTTGTGTCCCTCCCCCAAAGGAGAGAGATTCATGGTGGAGCTATTTTGGTGTCTGGAAAACCATCAGGCTTGAATAACCTAGAAAGGAAAGGAATCTCTATGACTGAATTTTTAATATTTTTTTCTAGAACACTGCTTTGACATTTCATTTATAGCTTATTTAAAATTTTTAACAATCTACACTGATCCACTTAAGTAGAACTGAGAAGAAATCTAGGGAGAATCTGAGTTTGGCTTCAGAAATTTTAAAGACAACTAACTGGAGAATCAAGATATAGGAAAATGAACAATAATGATTTTTTTAGAACATAAAGCTTAGCCTTAAAATTTTTTTCTTTTCAAAGCGATGCGAGCTTTGAAAGTTGCTAGAGCATTATAAGCTCATTATTTAATCTATGATACTCTTTGAAAAGAATGCAGTCCATGAAAAGAATACTTGGATTTTGATCTCAGGTTATTTTCCCCAACGAAGAAAAGTACTTTGCTTCCAAAAATCCATCCACACTAGCTCGAAGTTTCCTAAAGGCAAAAAAACATTTATTTTATCCCACATGAAATCACAACATATCTAATACAAAACTACACCTTCAGTGAAAGTTTTTATCTGACCTTTTCAGAAACATGTAGGTATGATTCTCCTAGTCGGATCATAGCGTTGTTGTCATTTGGTAGAGACATTTCTTTTAAACCCATCCCCAGTTAATTTGCGAAATTTTTAAGTGCTTTAATTACATTCGTTTATTAATTGTTATTCCCCAAAATGTTTAGTGTTGAGTATACTCATTGCAAAAAGGGCTCCGATGAATTTTTAGGGCTTTACACCTCACAGCTTCTACCTCTAAATCTAGAAATTTTTCCATCCTACAAAGAACACAAATGATTGGCACTTATTCTCCCTTTATAGACTAATTGGCTATGCTAATTAAAAAAATGTTTCAGTAGAAGGAAAGGAAATGTCCAATATGTTATGAAAAATAAGCAATAGGAAATTCAGAATCCCTGTTATGAACATTTCCCTAATGCAAAGTACAGGTCCCCAGGAAAGGACCTACCACACTGGTCCTTTTCTTTGGCCGAGATGGTGTCTCAGTTAGACTTCCCAGCCATCTCTCCAGAGGGCAGGATCTCTTCTGGGAAAAATATTGCAATAGCGTTTGTATTCCTGCCTTTTGCTGGGAACTTTCTTGGTGTACCTCCAAAAAGAGAATCAGAAATGTAGAGCTAGAAATTATTTTGGAGACTTTACAGATTAGAAAAAAATTAAATCCAGAAAAAAGGATGTTGTTTTCTCAAGCCCAAACACCTAACAGATCATAGTACTGGAGCCCTATCCGTTGCTTCTAAGCTGAACTCTGCTTTGGATGAATTCAGAATTTATAATTTCACAGAAATGCTTAGCTTTATATTACTGTTGTTAATAGAAGTGGAACTATATATGCAGAAGATAAATATGTGGTGATTCAATTAAAATAATATTTGCATAATGTGAATTTGCTATATATAATAGAAAATAACCAAATCAACTCAAATTAAAATGTGTTTGAATTGTTTTTTAAAATGTTTAATCACTGTGAAAATAACAATGATCTTGAATAAAAATGTATCTAAGTGTGTTATTATTTACTTAAATAGAGTTGGTATACAATATCATATTAGCTCTAATAGTTTCAGGAGTACAGTATAGTGATATGACATTTTTAAACCTTAACAATGTGATCACCCCAATAATTCTAGTAATCATCTGTCATCATGCAAACTTATAGCAATATTATTGCCTATATTTCCCTTCATCTTTTTAATCTATCCACTCCCTTCTGGTAACCATCCCTTTAGTCTCTGTTTCTATGAGTCTGTTGTTGTTTTGTTTTCTTTGTTCGTTTGTTTTGCCTTTTTAGATTCCACATATAAGTGCGACCATACAATATTTGTCTTTCTCTCTCTGACTTTTTTCACTTAGTATAAACCCTCTAGATCCATCCGTGTTGTCACAAATGACAAGATTTCATTCTTTTTATTGCTGTATGATATTCCATTGTATATTTATACCGCATCTTCTTTATCCATTTATCTATCAGTGGACACCTAGGTTGCTTCCATATCTTGGCTATTGTAAATAATGCTGCAGTGAACATAGGGGTGCATATATTTTTTCAAATTAGTGTTTTTGTTTTCTTTGGATAAATACCCAGAAGTGGAATTATTGGTTAAGTGTGTTATTATTTATTCTACCAACATTTTTGAAACTTCACCATTATTAGACGTAGTTCTAAGTGTGAAGATACAGACAGAAAAAATAATAGCCCTTGTCCCAATATGCCAGCAAACTGGGAAGGCTGACATAAAACAGACAAGTATCCTACTGTGTGATTCCAGTTGTGACAGCGTGGGGTGCGATACCTATGGCCACACAAATGAGGGGGCCTCAACTGTGGAGTAAGAAGGAGAAGGCTCCCCCAAACAAGTTACATTAGAACTGTATCTTTAAAGAAGGGAACTAAGGGAAAAAGGCATTAAGAGGAGAGAAAATAGTGTGTGCCAGACAGGTAGCTGTGGCAGCAAGTGGCAGATTTGGGGAGCAAGTGCTTCTATATGGCTGCACCATAGGCTTAAATGATGCCAAGGACAGGTAGGGATCAGATCATGATGAGCTTTGTACATCATGCTAAAAATATTTTTATATTTTATATTTTACCAGAAAATAATGGGAAAGTATTGATAAATTATTTGCTCTTAAATAATACAACTCAAATTATACTATAAAGCTAAGATGTTTTTCCTGCTCCTTCCTATCGGATATCTGGGAAAAACATCTGAGAGTAGAAATCACAAGAATCTAATTCCAGTTGTAGAGCTGACAAAAATATCAATTTTCTCATCTGTAAAATGGAGATCATTAAAGGGTTGTTGTACAAAGTACATAAGTTAAAGCCTGTTAAGCATTTATTACGGTGTCTGACATATTATAAACACTCAATAACTTACGCTGGCATTGTCTTTGTCGTGATCATCATTATAAAAGACTGAATTGGAGAAAATGGATGAGAATGCTAAGGGCTAATTTTAACATCTAGAGTTAAGAGTAATTTTCCAATTCTGCTGAATCTATATTGCTTAGAGTAATAGAGTCCCTTCAGAGAGAATCACTTTGTCAGAGGCAAGGCTGGGAAAAGGCATCGGTTAGTAGAATGCACTGATTATGTACTTGAGAAGAACTTTTCTGCTGATTTTGTTGTCCAAGAAAATGTAAGAAGAGAAAACTGGAGTTTCAACTGTGGAGAGCAGTATCTGAGGAGAGTCCACGCTTGCTTTGTTAGTCAAAGGTGGAAGAGGAAAATAGCAACATCCATAGATAGAAATTGGATATAAAATTAACTCTTTATGTTGTACTTCCCTATGTTGTTTGTCAGGCTCTCCAAAAGAGAGTATGCTTTTAGTTTGCTATTAGATCGTAACTAATCGTTTATACTATATCCTTATACTGTAAAGACAGAGGTTATTTTTTGCTGTGTTTTTGTTATTGGAATATTTTCTGTAATTGTGCCAAACTGGAACTTTGGAATATGCAGCAGGCTCTTGAATAACGTCATTTCGTTCAATGTCATTTCATTATAACGCTGATGAGATGCCGCAGGAACTTAACTCTTGTTTATATCCATTAGCCCATGGTAAAATTGGTTTTGCTATACCAATTCCAAGAACCTATTGATGATGTTGAGTGAGGACTTGCTGTAGTTTAGCAATCTCAATTTGGTTGTATTAAAAATTAAGTAGGTCAGAATTAGATTTACTATCTGCATAACGCCATCTCTCTATTAAAAAATAGACCGTTTCAATATTCTATAGAATAATAGGATTACTTTCTGTGTTCTGTTTTGTTAGTGCTCCTACATCCCTCCCTGTAAGAGAGAAAATCAGAAGAACTTGGAAAGTGTCATGAATTGGCAACAGTACTGGAAAGATGAGATTGGTTCCCAGCCATTTACTTGCTATTTTAACCAATTTCAAAGGTAAGCCAATGTTTGCATGTGCATATTAAAATTGTAGCCTCTGTAGTTTTTGACATTAATAAAATATAGATTGTGCTCACTTGACAAAATATACAACATGGAGATAGTCTCAATTCTTTCCAGCATGTAGTTAGGGAAGCCCCGTCTTACTCTATGGGAAGGGAAGCATGAAAAGAATCTGCAGGCCAAAAAGAAAAAGAAAAAAAAAGCTTGTGTCATAGAGTTGACCCTCAGGATACGCTAAACAAGTGCCTTAAGTAGGATCATTGTATGCTAGTGTTATTCCCTGAAAATTACAGATTAATGTATATAATGTAAATAACCACAGGTTTGTCAGTCTTTCAAACTGTATCAAATCTTATCTTTCATTTTCCTTTCTGTTCTGACGAAGTATAATAAAATGAGTTCATACCATTAAAACTTTGCCTTAGAACTCAAGTTATTCCATATAACAACAGCTCCTTGGACTAGAACACCAGTACCCACCTAGGTTAATCATAGAAATTTACTTATCAAAACTTTACTGAGTCTTCTTAACTCCTTGCTGTACACTTCCACTTGGATGTTCTACACTTATGTCAGCTTTCTCGTCTTTTTAGTGAGTGGTACTGTCATCACTTGTTTACCTAGGCCAGAAACCCTTTAATAATTCTTCATTCACTTTTCTCCTTTTTACTCTGTAACCTATGTTCACCGTCGTATTGATTGTACCTCTGTAATGTTTCTTCTCTGCCTTCCTTCTGCCCCTGTCTTAGTTCAGAGTCACATTATTTCTTTGTTCTATGAATGCAGTAATCTTTTAACAAATCCTTCCATCTGCACCTCACCTCCATTCCAAACCATTCTGTATGCTGCTGCCAAGGGGATCTTTCTAAAACATGATTCTAATCAGGTTTTTTAGTAAAGTCCAAACATTTTGGCCTATGTGTCAGGTAGCTATTGCTATGTAACAAACTACCCTAAATCTAGTGGCTTACTACAACAATGATTTATTATTTCTTATGATCTTGCGGGTCGGCTGGGAGGTTCATCTGCTGATCTTTCCTGGGCTCACGTGCAGTCAAATGATGGCTAGAATAGCTGCATGGTCCAAAATGGCCTCTTCCCTTACATGCCAAGCACTTGGTGCTGGCTCAGATGAAGCACCTTAGTTCTCCTCCCCCTGGCCTCTCATTCTCCAGTAGACTAAATCACCATCCTTACAATATGGCAGCTTCTGACAGCATTTCAAGAGAGCCAGGCTTTGGCTCTAGAACTAGCCTAACATTTCTGACATGTTGTACTGGTCAAAGCAAGTTACGAAGCAGCCCAGATTCAGGGGGTGTTGAAATAGATTCTGCATCTTGATTAAAAAAAAAAAAACTGCAAAGATGTTGTGGCTATATTTAATCTACCATATCACACAGGTTCCTCAAAGTCTTGCCCCAGACTACCACCTCTCCAGCCTTGTCTCTATACTCATGTTCTTTGCAATGGTCTTTCTTTTTTTTTAATTTAAATTTTTATTTTTCAATAGAGTTCACATTTAATATTATTTTATATTAGTTTCAGGTGTACAGCATAGTGGATAAACATTTATATAATTTACAGAGTGATCCCCCCATAATCTAGTGCCCACCTGGCACGACACGTAATTATTTCAATATAATTGACTGTATTCTCTGTGCTGTACTTCATATCCCTGTGACTGTTTAGAAACTACCAAGATGTACTTAATCTTTTCACCATTTCCACCTAGCCTCCCAACCCCCTTCACACCTGGCAATCATCAGTTTGTTCTCTGTATCTATGAGTTTGTTTTCATTTTGTTTCTTTGTTTGTTTTGTTCCTTAGATTCCACATATCAGTGAAATCATGTGGCATTTGTCTTTCTCTGCTTGACTTATTTCACTTAGCGTAATACCTTCTAGGTTTATCTATGTCATTGCAAAGGGTAAGATTTCATTTTTTTTTTTATGGCTGAGTAATATTCCATTGTTTATATATGTACCACAACTTCTTTATCCAGTTGTCTGCAATCGCCTTTCTGAACTGTGTGCAGTTCCCAGAATATCTTATACTTTTATATCCATGCCTTTTTAGTTGCTTCTCCTGCTTCTCGACTGCCTTGATGGAGACTCCCCAGATATCACCTTCTCTGGGCTGCTTTGCTTGATTTCCAAAGTTTGATTTAGTTGTATGTCATTTAGGATGCCATCTGCTGCAGGTAAACATAAAACTGTGACTGACTCAAAGTACCATAAATGGGAAATTTATTATTTCATACATCAAGAAATGCATAAGTGGATCAGGACCTTAGAGTTGTTTGATGCAATGACTTAACAGTGTCATCGAGAACCCAGCCTGATACTGAACCCACCGCTGTCCGAGTTGGGTGACCCCTTATGCTTCCGGCCCCTGACCAGGAACGGGTTTCAGCATGTGGGTGAGCTTGAGCTTGAGCTTACAGTTGGAGACAAACAAGGGCGCCCCCTCCCATGGGCTGTCCTGACTAAGTAGCTGTCATCTTAATAAACTTCTCCTCACTCCCTACTCAGGCACTGAGTTCTCTAAAAGCCACCTCCCCCAAACAGGGTTGCCTCCTGTGAGGGCATGAAGCCTGAATATCCTCAGCACCCAATCAGGACTGTTCCTCCAGAGTGGTGAGAACCTGTTTGAAGAGAGCGAAACCTATGTTATACGCTAATTGTGTTAACTTTGGTAACAGTAAAGTTAAGCCTACCATACCTCCCTCAGAATGCAAACTCATTGCCTGTCCATCATCTCACTGTCTCATTCTCAAACTGTCGGGGTGTAGATAGACGTGGGGGCGATCTGTCACAATCAGCGATACTTGAGACATGATTTTAAGTGACTCCGGGAAAACAGGAGTTTGGAGTTTGGCTCTTTTACCATGACATATGCAAGAGGAAACAAGAGTGCTGGTTGGAGGTGTGAAAAATGGCAGCTCCCTGGTGCCATCTTCTCTTAATACACTTTTTACTACTGCTAAATATGAGATAAAAATAGCCTTCCTGTAGAGACTCCCAGATGCTCTCGATAAGATGAACTTTATATTTAAAGTAACCTTTAGATTTCACGCACATGCAGGAAATTAGGGAGAATAGTTATCAAGAAGTTTCCGTTTTCAGGAAAAGGATGGTATTTTAAAAATCAAAGACAAAGATCATTGGAGTCTTAGCTTTCCACTGTTTAAGCCTTATTTAGGAGAGCTGTACTCAAGAGTAATGTCTGCAGTGGGCAGAGCAGCCACCAACAGCCATGCCTGCCATGGGAGACCAATCCCCATGTGGTCACCCCTCCTACGCCAGGAAGGACACAGGGCCTTAGGGGAACCTGACACAGGCTGCTTCCATTCATGGTCTTCCCATGTAACCTTTCAGCTCTTTGCCTTCCTCAATCTTGGGGCTTACAATCTCCTTCCAATGTGTAGATTTTTGTTTTACACATTTTTACACATTTTTACATAGGCGAGGTTACACTTTTACCCTCCTCGTACCATTTTTTGTCTCTTAGCGTTTCCCTAGCTTATTTCTTCTCAGCAAAACCCGAATTATGCCCCCTTACCGAATATGTTTTGATATCTTTCCATTGCTGGAAAACTTCCCTGGAGTCTTAGTCTTCTCATACAACTCTTCTCTTGATATTTGCTTTAACTGGTTTCCCCTTGAAGAAGGAATATCCCTGGAAAATGGTTACTCGCTCTGCAATTTCCTTTGGATCAAAGGGCCAGGGGGAGTGATCAGTCTTCATTTTTTGAACTGTTCCTCTATACAGTGTTTCTCTATACAGATTTACTTTTTAATTTTTATTTTATCCTTCTGAGTGCACAGAGCAGCTTTACATACACACACACTGGGTTCGGGCCCTCACTGCTTCTCATCTGGATCGTCGAAGTGATCTTCAACAGGTTTTTCAGCCTTGGTCTTTCATCTATCACCCACGCTACACTAGGTTTTGTTTTTCTTTGTTTAAAACATTATTTGATCTTGACACAATCCTCGATTAAAATTTTCTGCCCTCTTATTGTTCATAGAATAAAGTCCATGCCCTTCCAATTCCAGCTTCAACTTCTGTTATTTAATTATGTGCCAGTCATAGGGAAACAAAAGCAAAACAAAAGAAAAAAAGTAGACATGGTTTCCGCCCTCGTGGAGCTTGTAGTCTGTCATCACACCATTAGATAAATAATTACAAAGTAGGGTAAATGCTATGAAGAAAGAGCCGAGGGTGCTACCATGAGATAATTATAACAAGGTGGGGAATTTCAGAGGCCTGTCTGAATAAATCATAATTAGGTGGAGACCAGAGGATGCTCAAGAATTAGTTAGCTAGGTAAAAAGTGAGGGGAAGAGTATTTCAGAATGAGGCAACATGCAAATATGCAAAGGTTCTGAGGCAAGAAAGAGCTTGGTGGGTGTTAGGAACCGAAAGGCCAGCGTGGCACAGGAACCGTGAGTGAGAGGGAGATTAGTGAATGTCGACACTGGAGAGAGTAGGCAGAGCTTAGCTTTCACTTAAATGCAGTAAGCAGCCAATGATGGGTTCTAAGTAGAGTGGTGACATGATCTGATTTAAATGCTATTCCAGTCACCTCAAATTACTCTTGTTTCTCACGTACTTCTATGCCTTTGCTGCTTTCTCTCTCCTCTCCCCTCACCTGGGGACACCTTTGCTATTGTTCACTTTTAGGAATTAGCACACCACAATGGTTATAGAACCAGGCACATTCTAGAGTGCGTGGTCTTGGGTATGTTGCTTTAACCTACCTGCGCCTCAGTTCTCTTTGTAAAAGGGAAAAACAATAAGGCTCTTGTGAGGTTATCAATGAGATGGCATGTGCGTAACCTGCAGTAATGCCTATAAAAGTGTTTGCTATTGTTATTTTTATTACTATTAATAAGATTTGCCTCAAATGTCACTGTGTAACATCTCACCTGTTCAGGTACAATTAATTACTTCCTCTTCTGTGCTCCCACACTACGATGGTTGCTTTTCCC